AGATAAGAGATTGATACAAAAAATATAGCTCAACAGCAAAAAAATCCACTTAAACCACGGGCAAAGGACCTCAATAGACATTTTTCCTAAGAAGACATAGAAATGGCTAATGACTACATGAAAAAGTGTTTCACTTTACTAATCATCAGGGAAATGTAAATCTAAATCATAATGAGACATTACCTCATACCTGTTATGATGGCCATTATAAAAAAGATAAATGTTGGCAAGGATGCGGAGAAAGGGGAATCTTGCATACTGTCTTTGAGAATATAAATTGGTACAGCTATTATGGAAAATAGTATGGAAGGTCCTCAAAAAATTATAAAATAGAACTACCATATGATCCAGTAAACTCCTTTCTGGGTACAGATTGAATATTCCTTATCCAAAATGCTTGGGATTAGAAGTGTTTCAGATTTTTCTCAGATTTTTGGTTATTTGCATAGATGTAATGCGATATGTTGGTGATGGTTCCAAAATTTAAACATGAAATTCATTTACATTTCATATATACCTTATACATGTCGACTAAAGGCAATTTTAGACAATATTTTCGGTGTGCCTGCCTGTTGACTGCAACTATGAAGTCATGGGTGGGAATTTCCACTGTGCCATCACGTCATTGCTCAAAAAGTTTTTGGATTTGGAGCATTTCAGATTTCAGCTTTTTAAATTAGGGAGCTCAACCTATATTATTAAAAATAAAAAAAAATTGGAATCAGGATCTCAAAGAGGTAGTGTCTGCACTCCTATGTTTATTGCAACATTATCAATAATAATCAAGATATGAAAACAAACTAAACGTTGATGGATGAATAGATGTTATATACACATATTTATGCACATATGTATGCATAAGCCTGTGCACAAGCATACAATGGATGAAACTGGAGGTCTGTAACTGAAACTGTAAGTTATACTGCGTAAAAGTAAGCCAGACACAGAAAAATGAATACAGCAGGATCTCACTTACGGGTGGAATCTAAACTAGTCAATCCCATAGAAAACGAGAACTGTGGGTGCCAGGATCCAAGGGAAGGGAATGGAATTTGTTGGTCAAAGAATACAAATTTTCAGATCTGCAAGATGAAGGAGGACTGAAAGCTTAACTATAAGATGCTATAATACACAATACTGTATTTACTGTATTGGATCCTTGAAATCTGCCAAGAGGGATAAACAATAAAAAAGAATAAAGAAGGGCTGGGGTTGTGACTCAGTGGTAGAGTGCTCGCCTCGCATGTGTGAAGCACTGGGTTTGATCCTCAGCACCACATAAAAAAATAAATTAATTAAATAAGGGTATCATGTCCATCTACAACTAAAAAAAGTTTAAGAAAAAGAATAAAGAAAATGGTAACTTTGTGAGGTGCTGAATATACTAATTAACTTCACTGTATCAAAAGGAGTATGTGTACAGTCATGTGTTGCTTAATGAAAGGGACATTGCTGATAAATATGTCCCAGGGTGGACACTGTAGAGGGTACTTACATAGACTAAGAAGGCTCCAACGTCACTAGGTGATGTCTACTTATGGGACCACCAGTGTATCTGTGATCTGAGGTTGACCAAAACCTTGAGGCATGTGACTACTACTACATCAATTTGTACACCTGAAATATATACCATCTTGTCAAGTATACCTCCATGAAGCCATTTTAAAAAAAGAATGTCTAGATTTGTTTAGTTAAGAAGAGTGGACATCATCCTCGTTATTGTTATTATCCCTGGAAAATACTCAAAAGAAAGAAAACAACAAAAACCCCAAAGAGTCTTTCTATGTTCAAATCTTTGCCAATTTGCTGAAGGAACTATATTATTGGGGAATCTATGGTTTTTATATATTGCTGGTCTCATTTAATATAGAATTATACAAATATTCCATATTGTCATACTCTTAACTATTTTAGGTGTTCACTTTAAAAATATGAAATATCTGGCTCAAAATACAAAGTATATAGAAATGTACTATGCCCCTCCACCTCAAAACTTACCCAGGGACAGGCTTGGGATGTACTTCAGGGGTATAGCACTGACCTAGCATGTGCTAAGTCCTGTGTTTGATCCCCAATACCAGGGTGGGAGGACAACAAAGACCCAGAGGCGATAGCTTTTTTTTAAAGTTATTGATGGACCTTTATTTTTGTTCTTTTTAAAATTTATATATAACAGCGGAATGCATTACAATTCTTATTACATATATAGAGCAAATTTTTTCATATCTCTGGTTGTATACATAGTATATTCACACTAATTAGTGTCTTCATACATGTACTTTGGATAATAATAATCATCACATTCAACCATCATTAATTACCCCATGCCCCCTCCCCTCCCTTCCCCTCCAACCCCTTTGCCCTATCTAGAGTTCGTCTAATCCTCCCATGGTCTCCCTATCCCACTATGAATCAGCCTCCTTATATCAAAGAAAACATTTGGCATTTTTTTTTTGTATTGGCTAACTTCACTTAACATTATCTTCTCTAACTCCATCCATTTACCTACAAATGCCATGATTTTATTCTCTTTTATTGCTGAGTAATATTCCATTGTGTATATATACCACTTTTTTTATTCACTCTTGATGGACCTTTATTGATTTGTTTGTATAAATGTGGTGCTAAGAATTGAACCCAGTGCCTCACACACGCTAGGCAAGCACTCTACCACTGAGCCAATCTGAGGTAATAGCTTTTATGAGGTCCATATTTCTCTTACAAAGATATCCAACTGGGGCTGGGGTAGTGGTTCAGTGGTAGAGCGCTCGCCTATCGCATTTGATTCTCAGCACCACATTAAGGAAATAAATTAAATAAAGGTATTGTGTCCATTTACAACTAAGAAATTATAAAAAAAGATCCAACTGTATGCAAAATATCATGCACGTGTACATGTTATGATTTTTCATTCACAAAATACCAGCAGGGTCCCCAAACAATTATGCATATGTTTTCTTCTGTTTAGTAATGTATGCTGGAAATCATTTTACATGACTGTATTTTTAGTCTTTCAACAAACCCTTAGCATTTATTATCTACCCCAAACCATTTCATGGCAGTAAAGAAATCTTAATTCATTCAATATAATAACCCTGTTGCATAGGTACTATTATCACCACGAAGGCACAAAGGCATTGGCTAATTGCCCACGATCACATAGCCACTAAGTAGGAACAGGACTTAGACTGAGATAATGTGGATCCCAAGCCCATGTTTTTTTTTTAGGTGTAGCTGGACACAACACAATGCCTTTATTTTTATGTGGTGCTGAGGATCGAACCCGGGTCCCGCTCATGCTAGGCGAGAGCTCTACCACTGAGCCACAATCCCAGCCCCTCAAGCCTATGTTTTAAACCATTATGTTGTGCAGCCTGCGGACTATGCTACTCTGCCTTTTTACTATGGAGAAAACCTCCTTTCTTAAAACCAGGATTGCATCATATGTCTGTTTATGTAGATGCCATAATTATTTAACAAGTCCCCTAGTAAGGGCTTTTAAATTGTTTATGATCTTCACCTGTTATATCAACACTGTAATAAAAACCCTTGCCCATAGATTATCTGGCATATGTAGAATTATTAGGTCAAGGGTGTATGCATTGGAAATTGTTATTTTGTTAGTTATTAGCATGTAGCTCTTCTAGTTATTGTACCAATTGATTATTCCACAAGGAACACATGAAAGTATTTATTTCTCCACCTTCACCAATATATTGCTATCTAATTGCTCATTGATAATCAAGTAGAAAAGTGATATCCATTTTTTAATCAATAACTTATTTTTATACTTTTATTTTTATTTATTTATATGTGGTGCTGAGGATTGAACCTGGGCCTCACATATGTTAGGCAAGTGCTCTACCACTGAGCTACAACTCTAATGACTAAAGTTGAACTTTCTTTCATTTGTATATGCCTATTTGCATATTTTGCACCATTTATTCATATTCTCTGCTCACTTTTCCTATTTATTTTGGGGTCTTATTGATAAGTCACTTAATTGGCACATTAAGTAAATTCAACCTAATCTGTAATAGGCATTATAAATCTTTTTTTCTAATTGTATTTTGGTGTTGTTTATGGATTTTTTTCCATGTTGTTTTTTTTTAAACTGAAAGAAGAGAATGCTTTTATTAATCACAACATAAAACTGCCTTGGAATCCTAAGAATTGAACCAGGATAAATAATGCTGCTATAAAATTTACATTTCTCACATTTAAGAGGAAAATATTACATATTAGGGCTCTTCTGGGTGTTATGAACTAATTTCAGCAAAACTTTATTTTAAAAAATAGAAAGTAGCAATTAATATATATTCTTAAACTGTGTGAAGATAAAATTAGAAAGGCAACTGGTAACAACCAGCAGAATTATAATCATTTTGTTGGACATTAAGAACCACATTTCGTTTTTAGCTGTTATATCTGCATACGTTTTTCATTGATAAGGCAAGTGCCGGCTATGGGTGCCACATGATTAGTAAGTTTCTTCTTCAGTAACAATATACTTTACTGATCAAGACTCAGGTGAATTTTCTTTCCTTATTTTGCTCTTTTGGAGCAGAAACAAATATCTTTATCTTTTATACCAAGGGAGGCAAATATGAAATACAGCTCTTGTAACTCTTCTAACTCACCATTAAACAAGGGCAATGAATTGTTAAGAATGTCTCTGAAGTATTTCCAGTATTTAAAATAATAGGACTCTGAATAATTTTCAAAACTAAGTTCCCATTTTGGTATAGGATTTGATAGTCATAACACATTTGATCCGTATTCTTCTATCAACTACACTTTGTCCTCATTGTGGGTTAGTGTTAGGGTCTCAAACTATTTCTACATATAGAGCATCTTTAAATAAGTCTCTTCACTGAACTTAAGACTTTTTTCCCCTCACTTATGTGCCCATGAAAATTCATGAGCATACACATACATATACTTGCATACATATGTACGTATAGAAGTAAGTTACTTTGCCATTAGAATAAAACTAGACATTAGGGGGACAACTCTGAGAAACAGTTTGGTCTTCTATGGAAGTCTTCCTCCATGCTGAGGTAGAGTTCGCTGAAGGATGTGATGAGGCTGTAGGAAGTTTTCTCATTATCTGTCAATCCTGCATTGCCAGGTCTAGCCACCACAGCTACATGCACACCTGCTTCCTCAGCAGCACTGGCCTCTAGAGGAACATCTGTTAGAAACAAGACGTTGTTGCACTGGCCTCTAGAGGAACATCTGTTAGAAACAAGACGTTGTTGGTTGAGCATCCAATGCTGTTTGCAATCTCTCTCTAACTCTCACTCTCCACTGTGTCCAATTTTGGTATCAAAGTGACCATCAAAAAGCTCAAGAATATTTCCCTCTGTAGAATGCCCAAATAATAGTTTCTGAGCCTTTACACTTCCAGAAGAATAGATATACACCTTCCTTCCATCTTCTCTCCACTTCCTGATGGCTGGAACTGCATCTTCAAAGAACTCTGCTTTCATGTGTCCAGCTGTGAATGCTGCCCTCCACACGTGGCCCTGCAGTTGTCTGAGTGCTGTGGTTTCTCGGTCCAGAGACATCTGCCAGCACACATTATCTACGATGGCCTGGATTACCTGTTGCAGTTCATCGACCCCATTTCCAGATGCTGCAGGGATTGGAAGAGCCCCATCCAGGTGGGCATCTTCTTCAGCCTCAAAAGATTGACATCATGCAGACACTCCTCTTCTTCCCCATGTGTCTGCAGATACTCTTTAACATTTTCTTTGATGTAAGGAAATAAAATGTCCTTCACGAAATCAATCAGGGTTGTGGTACCTTCGATATCTAACAAGATCACAGTGACTTCAGTGGGCACCGAAAACACGACCATTTCCCTCCCAGATGTTACCATGGAACTCGGAATGCTGGTAGGGAGGGTGGAGGGCTTCCGATAGCCCCACAGCAATCTCGGAGGTGGCCACAGTGTGGGGCCTGAAGCACGCAGGAAAGGATACCTCCGTGGACTAGTTGACAGGACCGGTGTCCAGGGGCCAGAACTCTACGAGGCAGAGAAGCAGGCCCAGACCTGCCATGTTGGTTTTTAAAATCTCAGTGTAGTCAGAGTTATCCACATTTCCTTTTATGTCTTCTAGGTTCTGTGTCATTTTTTTTGGTATTTTTATTTTATTTTATTTTTGCATTAAGAAGAGTCTTGTTTTTTTATTGATTTTTTAAAAATAAATGACAGCAGAATGTATTACAATTCTTATTACAAGTATACAGCACAATTTTTTCATATCTCTGGTTGTATATAAAGTATGTTGACATCAATTCGTGTCTTCATACATGTATTTTGGATAATGATGTCCATCACATTCCACCATCCTTGCTAACCCCCCGCGCCCTCCCACCCCTCTGCCCTATCTAGAATTCATCTATTCCTCCCATGCTCCCCATCCCTACCCCACTATGAGTCAGCCTCCTTATATCAGAGAAAACATACAGCATTTGTTTTTTGGGATTGGCTAATTTCACTTAGCATTATCTTCTCCAATGCCATCCATTTACCTGCAAATGCCATGATTTTGTTCTTTTTTAATGCTGAGTAACATTCCATTGTGTATATATGCCACATTTTTTTTTATCCATTCACCCACTGAAGGGCATCTAGGTTGGCTCCACAGTTTAGCTATTGTGAATTGTGCTGCTATAAACATTGATGTGGCTGTGTCCCTGAAGTATGTTGTTTTTAAGTCTTTTGGGTATAGACCGACGAGAGGGTTAGCTGGGTCAAATGGTGGCTCCATTGTCAGATTTCCAAGGAATCTCCATACTGTTTTCTATATTGGATGCACCAATTTGCAGTCCCACCAGTAATGTATGAGTGTACATTTTTCCCCACATCCTCGCCAACACTTATTGTTGTTTGTCTTCATAATAGCTGCCATTCTGACTGGAGTGAGATGATGTCTTAGAGTAGTTTTGATTTGCATTTCTCTAATTGCTAGAGATGATGAACATTTTTTCATATATTTGTTGATTGAGTATATCTCCTCTTCTGAGAAATGTCTGTTCAGGTCCTTGGCCCATTGGTTGATTGGGTTATTTATTTATTTATTTATTTTTGTTGCTTAGCTTGTTGAGCTCTTATATACCCTAGAGATTAGTGCTCTATCTGATGTGTGAGGAGTAAAAATTTACTCCCAGGATGTGGGCTCTCTGTTCACTTCACAGATTGTTTTTTTTTTCCGCTGAGAAGAACTAAATGAACATTTGCAATGAATCTCAAATTCAAACCTACCTGCAATGTGATGGCATTAAGAGGGGGGTCTTTTGAGAAGATGGGGTCCTGATGAATGAGATCAGCACCTTTATAAGCACAACCCTAGAGAGCTCCCTCACCATATACTTCAATGTGAGGACACATTGGAAAGTTGGCAAAGGGCAACCTGAAGAGGGTCCTCATCAGAGTGCTGACCTCAGCCTCCCAGCCTCCAGAGTTGTGAAAAAATAAATGTTTATAAAGTCAACAAGCTGATGGTACTTTGCTATAGCAGCCAGAGGGACATAGCTCTAGATGCACTGTCTCACTTCCCATCTGTGAGTATTCTCCAGCGTCCTTGGACTCCCAGTCCCCCTCCAGGCTTCCCAAAGCCTTGTCTGCATAGAGTAGGGGGCACCAGCCAACCCCACTCCCTGTCCCAGTCCATCTCTTCCAGGGGCTCTGGACCTCTCTCCAGGACAGCCCCATGTAGGGATGGCACATGAATCTCCTTGACATAGGTCCCATATCTAAAAATAATTGTCTTCAACTCTATTTGGGGGCTTGTTCATGGCATCAGTGAGCAGGGGGAGCGGGGGGGGGTCTTCTTTCCCCAAGACCTTCACCTCATCTTCTGCTTTCCCCAGGCTTCCAGCTCCTAAGGGGCAGGTACTGAGGAACAGCCCTCATGGATCCTCCCCATGTGGCCTCAGGGAACCCTCTGTCCTCACTAACCACGGACTCTGCAGATGTAGCCCAGCACATTGGTGGGAGGTTGACCTAAGGATGGACAGGGTTGCTGCCCTAGCCATCCCAGCATCTCCTATGGTTTTGTCCCCAAGCTTCTATCTTATTCCCATCCCTGCCTGCCAGGGAACTCATCTCTGAGCCTAACTTCAGAATCAGAGTCAAAGAGCACAGATCCCAAGACCCCTGCACCCAAGGAGAGGCAAACCTAGGATACAGAGCACTGCCAGCCCAGAGCTCTGGGAACACACAGAGAAGCACACAGCCTGCCACTCAGCCTAGAATGAGGATCCAGGACCTCAGGAGCCCAGCTCTACAGCCTGGAGAGCCACCAAGGACGAAACCCAGCTATGTGAGCTTGGTCCCTCCAGCCAAGAAGCCACCTTTCGAATCTGTCAAATGTCTCATAGGGACTGTCCTGATTCGGGTCTTCAGGTAGTCCCTCATCATTACCTACCGCATCCCTTTGTTCTCCTCTCAGAAGTAATTGCCTTTAATAAAATGTGTGCCTGTCCTCCTTTGATTGCAAACCCACAGAGCTCTTAAATGGACTGGCTGGAGTCTTAGCCAGCTCAGAGGATGTTTCTGCAAGGAATGAACAGGTGTCAATAGTGCAGTTCTGCATGCTGCCACCAGAGGGCAGGATCACCCCACATTCATGGGACCATGGTGGGCACCCACAGGTGAAGGGAAGCCTTCTTTCCCCCTGGGTTGGTCACTTTTCTGTCCAGAGAAACTCCATTATCTGCTGAGGGTAATGTGTGAGGATACCCTTATCTCTGGCAGCTCAGCAGTGGGAGGGGCTGTTGTGGTTTCACCTTAGGATGGAACCCAGTGCCTCACGTGTGCTAGGCAAGTGCTCTACCACCAAGCCACAACCCCAGCCCAGGGAAGCTACTTTCTAATGAAGTCTCTGCGTTTATTTTGATCCTTCAGCTGTGCTGACCCCTGCAAGTTCAGGGATTTTCCTGTAACGGGGGTAGGGAGCATCACAGGAGACAGCACCTAGACTTGACGGAGTCGGGGAGGTCAGAATCTGGGGCTGGTGGGGTCAGGCCAGGAATTGGGAGGAGACAGTCTGGTTGGCCAGGCCCTGGAAGGTGATCCTAAAAGAAAACAACACTGTTAGATGGAAGAAAGAAATTTATTTCTAAATGGTGCTGGTAGTGTTCTGGTGAGGGCACATGTCTGTCCCCTGCCAGGGCATGTGTGTCCACCTCTATCCCCTACAGCAGCTTATGCACCCAGGAAGGGACAAGAAGTGGGTCTTGGGAGTGGGTGGGGGCGCCCCAGGACCACTGCCTGGCAGGCCTTCTTAAGTAGCCTGTCCTAATGGCCTGTGGCTCTCAATGCCTTTCACCCAACCACGGGTCTTCTCAGCTTCTAGGAGGCATCGTCGCATTAGCACAGAGGACAGCCAAAGTCCACGAGCAGGTTTGGGTCCACTGACATGCCTCTGTCTCCTCCAGCTTGGGCTCCTGGTGGAGAGAGGGACAAGCTGGGTTTCCTGTTGCTGACCACAAGAGATGCAGTTCTCCAGCCAGGACTCTGCATGCTCCGTGTTGTGACAGTCGGAGAGGTACCAAAGTCCAGGAAGAGAGAAATCTGTCCCTGCCCACAGCAGGTCTTCTGCCTCTATTCGTTGAGCCCACCCTGGAGACTCATCTGGAAACTCACCATGTCCTTACCCTACCCTGACCCTATTGCAACAGCTTAAATTAAACCTCCCCCAGCATTGGGCCGGCATCCCCAGTAGTCCTCTGAGTCCCTCACTCCAGTCCATTCTCCATTCTTTTTGCGTGTATGGAGTATATTTATACTAGCTGTTTGAATGTCCTTGTCTTTAAAAAAACATTTTTAGTTGTAGATGAACACAATACCTCTATTTTATTTATTTATTTTTGTGGTGCTGGAAATCGAACCCAGTGCTTCACACATGCTAGGCAAGTGCTCTACCACTAAGCCACCACCCCAGGCCCTAATGTTCTTGTCTTCTGATATCATTTTGTCATTGTTGGGTCTCTATTAATTTTTCTCCTCATTACAGGTGGTATTTTGCCTGCCTGGCAGAAATGCTTTTTTTTTTTTAATTGAAAACTAGGTATTTTGAATTTTATGCTTTTAGGAGCCAGAATTTTTTTTTTTTTGGTATTAATTTAAATGTTTTGAATTTGGAATGCATTTAGTTTCCTTGGAAACAGTTTAATCTGGCTTGCCTTTAACTTTTTTTTTTTTTGGTAGTTGTAGATGAACGTATGCCTTTATTTTATTTATATTTTTGTGGTGCTAAGGATCAAACCCAGTGCCTCACATGTGCTAGGTAAGCGCTCTGCTGCTGGGCTCCAGCCCAGCCTACCTTTAACTTTTTAGGCAGGGCCAGAATAGTTTTCAGAACTAATGGAACCCAATCAACATCCTTCTGAGTCTTAAAAGCTGTAGCTGATGAGATTATGTGTTCCTGATATTGGAAGATGAAGGGTTTCTAGCCTTGTGTGAGCTCCAGAGATTTCTTTCTGCCCTTTCTGGGAAGTTTCTCCATATCAGGTAAGTTATGGAATCCAGAGCAAATCTCTGAGGCTCAATGCAGCTGTCTGGTTGCATACCCTGCCCACTTCCTGAGTTCCCAACTGGAACTGAACTCGGGGAGACCACCTAGCTGTTTGGTCAGGGATCACTATTCTGTTCCTATTGTTTAATGTCTGAAAGCCAAGATTTTTGTCCAGTTTTATAGTTGCATACAGCAGGAGTATACAACTGGTTCCTGTTATTCCATAATGGCTTGAATTGAAAGACAAAATGTCCAATTTTTATCTTTTAGGCAGACTATATCTTTATAGTGGATTATACCTTAGGTATTTTAAAATTTCACTATATGATTAGGTGCGG